CCACCAAACTCAGATAGGGCCGGCGTTCACGTCTTGCCAGAGTTAGGCACATGCTTGGCATAAACCCGCGCCTCAAAACAGGCGCCCGGCAGCCCGGATCGACCCCGTCCTCTCCGTTGTGTTCCTATGCGCAACCCTGGTGAAGCCAGGGGTGGGTGGCATTCACGACATGTGGGCCAGGATCACACCCAAACACCACACTGCTATACTACCTTCGCCATGCAGTGTACGCAAGCACTGGGCCAAGAGCGTGCCTGCTCTTACATGTACCAGGTTGAAAGACGAACGCGGCTTGCCATCGCCTCATTTTAATCAATCGTAGCTCTCACGTCACCTGTGTTTTCCCTGCCGCCACCTCCAGCCATGCCGTGACGTCTGCTTGTCACCTCTCCGATCTCTATCGACGTGCTGTTTCTCGCTCTCATCGTTGCCCCTCATCTGCTTGCCAAGATATGCTGTGCTGAGCCAAGCCAAAGCTGGCCCAGCTCTGCCTCACGTCCCGGCACATCGTGCCCGCTACTGCGCCGTCGCGAGACTGACTCCCCCAGTCTGCACTGGCCGGGACAGACCCCCGTTCTTACCTAGGTTGTCCTGGCTTCACAGTGTCGTCGACCCAAACAGCCAGGCCAGGGCGCACCCCCCCCCCCCCGGAGATCGCCCACACCTAACGCCCTACCACGTTCCACCCTCACATCTTCCAGGGCCAGCCTGCCCATGCCACACAAGAACGAGAACCGGCGACGAACCGCACCGCCCGCGAATCTACCTACCCCACACTCGAGGGCACCGAGAGTAGGACCTGGTCATCGACGGGCGAATGGCACTCAACTAGACTGGACCCCGACCTCCACGCAATCAGACAAGACCCATTAGACTACCTCGAACTACCTAGCACTTGGACGGATCCACACCCACACCAACTCCAGCTTTTAGTACGGACAACCCCCAGCTCACTTTGCCTGTCGTTTGTCGCCCGTCATCGCAACTTGTGCTCTCTCCGCAGGCCGAACAGACGACAGACAGCCAACAACCAGACGCTCTGCGCGCCGCCCTACAATCTCGCCGCTGCAGTGCTGAATGAGTCGATAGACAACCATTGCACCTCTACGATTGACGAGCACCAGCGACACCGACATAGCATGGTTGCGAGACCCAACAGTGGTCAACTAGCATGCTCTGCAGCGTGAGCGCGAGACAGAGAGATCGAGAGTGAGCAAGACAGAGGACGAGATAGCGTCCCCGACATTCACAAGGCCGGCAAACTGCAAAGAGCGACCCGGGTCCGAGTGCAAATCAACATTCAAACCACGCCACCCCTCACTGGCGGGCTTGAGATCGATCCGACGCCGGGTTTTCATGATCCGTCCCTCATTGGACTTTTTCGCCTACCGTTCACAGCAACATCATGCACACCACCACTGCACTCATGGATACCACACACTTTAACAGTTTCGACTTTTCGGATCCGTCTCTTGGTAACCATGGGTCCATGGTTTACCTTGGCGACACCGAGCACACCGATGTCTTCTCGACGTCGCAACCCCACCCCGCAGCTTTCCTGCCCGCGCAACAACCGGCAGCACCCGGGTTAAGTCCCAACAGCAAGCACGACGGACTTGGTGCGGCTCAGCGAAAGCGGAGTCTCGTGGGCTCTGGGGACGACAGTCCGAACAGTGGTCACGGTGATGCCTACTCGTTTGAAGATGGCGGCGCGGATGAGTTCGGCCTGTCGTCCCATGGGCTGGCCGATGGCACTGACCTAGGAGGCAAATCCAAGGATGAAAAGATGGACATGGCGCCTGCGTGGAGCGAACTCAAGACAAAGGCTGGGAAGGAACGTAAGCGACTGCCACTGGCCTGCATAGCCTGTCGGCGAAAGAAGATTCGGTGCTCCGGTGAAAAGCCTGCGTGTAAACACTGCCTGCGATCCCGGATACCCTGCGTTTACAAGGTCACGACAAGAAAGGCAGCCCCGCGGACCGACTACATGGCCATGCTCGACAAGCGGCTCAAGCGAATGGAAGAGCGTATCATCAAAATTGTACCAGGGAAGGAGCAGCCCGGTTCCTCCCCGAATATTACGAGGGCTGTTCTCAAGCCTTCGATACCAGGAACAGGATCTGTGTCCAGCAAGACGGGCTCCAAGAAGCGCCCGGCCGAAGAAGCCTTCGGGCCTGACCTAGAAAACTGGGCCAATGGTCCTGTCAAGAGCAAGCTTGATGGCGTGGACAAGCCAACGTCCCTCCAAATCCAAGAGGCTGAAGAAAACAAGCTTTTCCTAGCAGGTCTCGATGCACTGCCATCAAAGGAGATTCAGGAGCACCTGGCCGAGGTGTTCTTCGAGAACATCTATGGCCAAGCCTATCACCTGCTGCACAAACCGAGCTACATGAGAAAACTCAAGTATGTCATATGAGACCGCTTTCCTGTGAGCATTGCTAACATTCCTGAAGAGCCGGCACCTTGCCACCAGTGCTCATCCTCTCTGTTTGCGCCATTGCAGCCCGCTTTTCGACGCATCCCAAACTGAACTCCTCCCCGAATTTTCTGCGAGGTGAGGAATGGGCTTCTCACGCGCGGGAGATTTGTACCACCAGATACGAGTGGCCCAACATCACCATACTCACATGTCTCTTGATTCTCGGCCTCCACGAGTTCGGAACCTGCCATGGGGGCAGGAGCTGGGCGTTGGGAGGCCAGGCGATACGCATGGCTTTTGCTTTGCAGCTACACAAGGATCTCGAATATGATCCGCTCGGCCAAAAAGGAGCCTCGCAACTTAGTTTCATCGATCGCGAGATTCGACGACGGACAATGTGGGCATGCTTCCTCATGGACAGATTCAATTCTTCGGGAACCGACAGACCCATGTTCATCAAAGAAGAGACGGTCAAGATTCCTTTGCCCATCAAGGAAAAATATTTCCAGCTGGACATGCCGGGGGTGACCGAGACATTGGCCGGGAATCCCTCTCGAACCCCGACGCCCGAGGACATTTATATGCCCGATGCCAAGGACAACATTGGGGTCGCGGCCTACATGGTAAGGTCGATCTCGCTATGGGGCAAAATCATCGGTTATTTGAACCAGGAAGGGAAAGACAAGGACGAGCACCCAATCTGGAGCACGGAGTCCGAGTTCACCAAGCTCACCAAAGATGCCGAGGATCTTCTGGAAACCCTGCCAGACCTGCTCAAATACAACCAAGACAACATCCAATTGCACGAAACCGAGAACATGGCCAACCAATTTCTGTTCTTGCACATTTCAATTCAGCAGAACATTCTCTTCCTCAACAGAGTTGCCGTTGCCTTTCCGGGTGGCAGTGTGACACAGGACACGCCGAAGGCTTTCGTTTCGGCAGCGGGAGCCAAGACTTTCAGCGCCGCAAACCGCATCTCGGAGATTTTGAAGGATGCAGAGCCATACGTCGTCGCGGCCCCTTTCGTCGGCTACTGTGCCTTCTCAGCTGCCACAATCCACATCATTGGTATCTTTTCGGGAACGCCGTCGGTGGAGGCAACCTCCAAGAAACATCTGACCACTAACGTTAAGTTTCTGACCAAGATGAAGCGCTATTGGGGTATGTTCCATTGGATGGCGGAAAACCTGCGTGGTCAATACCGGAGCTGCGCAGATGCGGCAAGGCACGGCGGACCCTCCAAGGAAGGGGCAACGTCTCCCATTTTCCAGTATGGCGACTGGTTTGATCGGTATCCCCACGGGGTTTCACAGACCGACTTTGAGGATCCTGCCTCGGTCAAGAAGAAGGAGAAGGGCGAGGATGCTGTTCTTGAACAGAAGCCTGAGCTCCACACGGTAGAAGAGTTTTTCACCACGCTGCCCTCGCCGCATAGCACGGAAAGCAACAAGGACACCTCGAAACTGTCAGCACACAAACGCAAAGCGGCTGCGGGGAGGAAACAGAGCGGGTCCAGCGTTTCGACGTCGAAGGCCGAACAGCAGCAGCACCAGCTCGACCCAATCCTGACAGATTTCTCCGGGGCTGCCGTCCCGCGCTCCTCAGGCTCGGGCCACTCAGCGCATGGCAGAACCATGTCTGGGCAACTAGGTCCCCAGACAAGCGGACCTGGGGACTTCAACCCTCTTGCGGTGCCCAGCTCTCAGAGCAATGCGTATCACGGTCTGTCGCCAATCAGCCCTGTCGCCATGTCTCAATATGGGCATCAGCACAGCTTGGGCCCTGGGGATGCGAACTTCTACTCAACAGACCTCATGAGCATGTCTCTGAATCAGCAGGTCAATGGGATGCTCCAGCCCTTAGACCGGCAGCTTGTCTTTGGCGCATACGCGGGCATGGATCAGGGAGAGTTTGCACCACAAGGCATTATGGACAATGTGAGTGACTGGGACAACATGTCTGCCGGCACCGCCAGGACGCCCAGCGTTGGTCAGAGGGTTCAGCGGCCGAGCACTCAGCAGGGCCGTATGAACAGTCTCGGCGGCATGCAACGGCACGCGCAACATCAACAAGCTCAGCAACAGTCATTTGCAACGTTCGGCAGTATGGGCGGGCAGGAGGCATCTAGTGCGTGGTTTATGCCCTTCAATATGGAGCCGCCCGAGCTTGGACAAGACATGGGTCTCAGCCTCGATACTTTACAGGCATTTTTGGCGGAGCGATGGGCACACCCGGCGGAATGGGAGCACGAAACCCAGGAGGGCAATGAAGAAGTTTTATGTGACTGGAATTTCCAGCATTGGTTGCATGGCCGGTTAGTGTTGGTAGGACGTGGACACAAGGAACTGTACACATGATGGGGGTTGAAGGCTGCCAGCTCCTTTGAGAGCACGAATGAGCAGCTGGGGCGTTAGGTCATGGAGAGTCTAGATACCACATTTGCGCACAATCGAGGATATTGAACAAGAAAGTAGTTGTCTGGTATCATAAATTCTTGGCACAGGAACCGTCCCATGCCTATCCGCGTACTGCCCAACAGGACGAGGTAAATAGATTGTTGGGGGGGGGGGCATCCATCCTACTCGACATCCTCCCCGGCTTCTTCTGCCAGAGGCGCGCCGCCTTCGCTCTGTGCCTTCTTTCCCCTCGATCTTTTCCTCTTCTTCTTCTGTACCTCACCATCGGCATCGTCGCCTCCACCTTCAGCCTTTTTCTCCTCCGCCTTCTTCTTCAGCTTCGCCTGCTCCTCCTTGACGAGCCCGTCGAACCCAAAAGTCGGGCCCGTCCGCTCAAACTGGCGTCCAAATGTGTCGCGCCGCCACTCGCGGAGGCGTGCCTTCTTGCCGAGCCTCTTGCGGTCCTTCTGCTTCTTCTCGGCGTCGCGGAACGTCGCGAGCTTCTTGAGGCCGGCAAAGTTGTTGAGCGCCGCGTCCGAAGGCGCCAGCAAGATGTCGCGCGCCGTCATGCCAAAAGACTGCGGCGACGTCTCGCGGTAGCGGAAGGTCAGCTCCGGGTCATCGGCGGGCGTCACCTCAGCGCCGTCGACGTCCATGCGCGCGTCGACGAGGGCCTCGATCTGGGCGCGCTCAGCCTTGGCGGCCTTGCGGGCGGCGAGGCGGACCTTTTTGTGGTCTGTTGCTGTTTTGCGCTTCTTCGAGGGGGGCGCGTCGGGGTCCGAGTCTTCCTCGTCTTCCCTTTCTTCGTCGTCAGCGCCGGCGTCTGCCTGCGCCTCGTCGTCTGAGAGGGAAAACTTGGCCGTTTCCTTGTCCTCAAAGTCGGGGATGATGTCGTTGATGTCAATGTCGTCGTCCCACTTTGGCTTCTTGACCTTCTTCTTCTTCTTTGTCGCGTCACCGTCCTCGTCGTCCGAGTCGGACGCGACCTCGGCCTCCGCGTAGTAGTCCTCGCCGAAGCGCTTCGCCATCTCCTGCTCCCACTTGTCGTCCTCCCAGTCCTGCGACAGGAAGTGGACCCACTCGTCGCTCTGCAGGGCGACGCCGCGCAGGCCGGCGGCCTTTTTGATCTTGCGCAGCTTCTCCTCGGCCTCCTCGACCTTGAGGCGGCGCAGGCGGGCGCGCTCCTCCTTGCGCTCGGCCTTGGCGGCCTCCTTGGCCTCCTTCTCGAGCTGGCGCTGGCGCTTGCGGCCCGTGGCCTCGTCGCGGCGGACGGAGCGCGCGGCGGTGATGTCACGGGCGTAGGTGGTCAGGAACTCGTTGCTTTTCTGGGGGTCCTCGAAGCGCATATTGTAGGCCTGCTCAAACTCGTCGGCACGGTCCTCGGCGGCGGCGGCGGCCTCGTCGTCGTCGTCCGACTCAAAGGCCTGCCAGTTGCGGCCGTCGGCGCCGGGGGCGACCCAGGCGCGGGCGGACATGAAGTTGGAGAGGAACGTGTCCGGGTCGCGGTCGGCGTTGGCGATGTCCGTGTCAGACACCTTGTTGACCGTCTTGGCGCGCGAGGGGTGCACGCCGTCCTGGCCGGGCTTGGCTGCCGAGGCCTTGCGCTTGACAAAGTCGTCGTCGTCGTCGCTCGAGACGTCCGAGGCGTCGCCGCCGGCCGCCGCGCGGTTGATCTCGGAGACGATGGACTTTTGGAGGACCTGCTGCTCCTCGGCGTAGGTCTGGGGCCGCGGCTTGCCGTCCTGCCTGTCCTCGTCCTCGTCATCGGAGGCACCGACATCGCCGGCGAGAATCTTTTCACGGTGGTAGTCCTTCAGGCGCAGGGGCTTCTCCTTCTTCTGGGGTGGATTCGTCGGCGCCGCGGCGGCGTCGGCGTCGGCCCTTGAAGAAGGAAAAGTCCTTGTCGCGGACGCGGGGGTCCCTTGTTCTTGATGGCGCTCAGGGTGGCCGAGATTTGGGCATCGAGGTCCTCGGTGGCCAGGAAGCCGTCCTCGTCCTCGGTCTCAGAGTCGGAGGAGGACTCGGAGTCGGAGTCGTCCTCCTGGGCGCCTTTTTGGGACTTGTACTTCTCCTCGACTACAGGCTCTGTCAGTGGAAGGACTTGGGGTACATCGTGAAGGAAAATTGCAACTGACGTCTTTGCCTCTCCTCTCGCTTCTTGTTGTGCTCGAACTTGCGGGCGTACTCCTCGTTGACCTTCAGCTGAGGCGCCGCCAGAGATGCCCCTCCCTCCTCATCGTCGGAGCCGCTGTCGTCGAGAAGGTTGATCTTCTTTGCGGGCTTGGCATCCGTGCCCAGGAAGGCGTTGGAGGCCATGGTGGTTGTGTGGTTCGCAGAGCAGTGGCTGATCGAATCTGTGGGCAGTGGAAAAGATGCTTCAAAGAGACGTTGGGTTTGTAGAGTGGACGGCCAATTGCTCAGTACACCACCTGCTGGGGCTGCAGCTTTCAGTCGACTTTTTTTCTTTCTGAGCTCGACCTAGGACTGTCGATGGATTGGGAACGCCCTGATTTTTTTGGCGGGGCCCTGTCACTCCCAAGTGGAGACGCTGCTGATCCGGCGAAACCCACGGGCCGAGCGTCCCTTTCTCGCTCGCATGTTCCATTCTCCGAGAAGGCGTCAGTCCAGGGCCCCCCAGCTCCGCCTGCAGCATTAGGTTGCACCACAGCAGCGAACAGGCTCACCTACAGCACAGGCCATGTGACCCTTACCTGTCACCGTAGCGCACCTCGAGCCACTACTGGAGGAAACTATGAGCGCTATACCGTGCCGCCATAGGTACAATGCCATAGGTGCCTAGGTGCCTACGGATACGTGAGCATGTAGGTCCCCAGGTAGAGAGATAGACGCACGATGCCACCGGGACTGATGCATGCTTCGTCATTGTTGCGCCTCACATCCCGCTGTTTCACCGGCACCCGACCTCTCTCTCTCGCACCAAGCGACATTGACCATCCATCATCCACCATCCACCATCACTCCGCACCACACATCAACAATCCCCCTACTCCCATTAGGCAACGATATTGGACAGTCTGTCTGCTGGTCCCTTTTTGCATCGCTACCAACTCCACCAGTGACTCTTCTCGACCCCTACCACCGACCGTCTCATTCCCGTCGGCTCTCTTTCTTATCTGCCCTCGCCTACCATACGATGGAGGGATCCGGAAACTCTGCCTCTAAGCCGAGCAGCAGCGTCAAGCTGGTGCTGCTCGGAGAGGCCGCCGTTGGCAAGGTGAGCACTCTGAGCACTGTTCACGGAACGAGCGACCGATCGATCGAATGAGGAAACAAACGAACAAAAACCTGCATCAGCATCAGCTAACGTGCCACTCCCTCACCAGTCCTCGCTCGTTCTCCGCTTCGTCAACAACGACTTTCAAGAGAACAAGGAGCCCACGATCGGCGGTAGGAGAACCCCCGCGCCCCATGCCCCTCAACCTGCAGTGCCGCTGCTGACCATGACCTCGCATCAGCCGCCTTCCTCACACAAAAGTGGCACCTGCCGACCAGGACGATCAAGTTTGAAGATTTGGGACCCGGCGGGCCAGGAACCTTCGCCTTGCTGGCGGCCAGTACTACGCAACGCCAAGGCGCCTTGTCGTCTACGACCTGACCAAGCGGACGTCGCTTCGTCAAGGCGGAAACACTGGGTCGCCGAGCTGCAGCGCCAGGCTCGCCGGGCATCGTCATCGCCCTCGTCGGCAACAAGCTCGATCTGACCAACGATGGCGGCGCCGGATCGGCCGGCGGTCTTGGCGATGCCGGTGACGACGGCGCCGACGGCGAGGCCGATGGCAATGACGCCAGCGGCGACGCGCGCAAGGTCTCGACCGACGAGGCCAAGACGTACGCCGACGAGGAGAGCCTGCTGTTCTTCGAGACGAGCGCCAAGACGGGCCACAATGTCGCCGACGTCTTCACGGCCATTGCCAACGCCATCCCCGAGACGTCGCTCAAGAGCACGAGGGGGCCCGGCGCCGCCAACGCCGTCAGCCGAGGCGGCGAGGAGCAGAGGGTCAACCTCAACCAGCGCGACGCGGCGGCCAAGGACAGTTGCGCCTGCTGAGGGGTCTTTGTGTGGTTTGCCGACGAGTGGGTGAGAGGCAGGGAGAAAGAGAGCAGAGAGAGGGAGGGCAGAGACTTGGGAGGAGTTTCCATTTTGAGCTACAGTGCTTGGGCGGGATAGGGCTTGCTGGTAGCAACCTGGTTGTCGTCATTATTCGGGAGTTTTCTCTATTTGTTTTTCTGGGTCCATGAGTGTCTTTTTTTTTTCCTTGCGTTTCCGATTGCGTTTGTATTTGCGTACTTGCGCATTTGTCCCAGCACATCTATCTGCCTGTGCCTGATATCTTGGTTCTTGCCCTCTGGAATTCCTTCCTTCAGCACCTCCCTCGCCCTGTCACTATGGGCCCAGCGGAGGTCGGAATAGCAGGCTTGTAGATATGAATAATCCTATTTGCCACGCGAGCTCTCATGCGGGCCCTGCTCGGCGGAAGGCTGCCTGGCAGTTCAAGGCCGCTTACAAGAAC